AAAATGCATGCCAAGGCTTAAAGCAGCAACAACGCTACACATAAAAACTGATGATGGTGGAAAAATACACCGAAACGTATTTTAATTGATAAATACAGACAATCAATGACTGAAACCCAGGAATTGATTTTGGTTCAGTATATTGCTACCAAAATGATAACTTTAGTTTGATGATAGCAAACTACATAACTTTGTACCACGTTTGATAAAACTACTCAATTTGCCCACTTGGCTTGGAGAAACCCACATTTAATCCAAGTTGCTAAAATTAGTCTGACACTCCCCACTTATCCAGTGCTCGATCAATTCCAGCTCCATGGAGTCGATGGACTGCTCAAAGCCCGCTCTAACATTGAGGCGAAGATTTTTTTTGGTTGCCTCCAAACTCTGCAATTAACAGCGCGATTGGCAGATTGATCGCAGGATTTTCGCCGGATATTTTACCTGGATAGACCCTTGAGCGACTGCGGCCACAGTGGCTTTTACAGTGTCTTGATACTTCTCCGGCCAGCACAGCTTCGATATTAAACCGCGCCTGTACGCCTCGTCAGCGGTCAGTTTTTGGGACGCCAACAACAGCTCTCCTGCCTAGAAAAACCGATTAGAAATCGCCAAAAGTCCAAACATTACGTACCAATCCGTAGCTGGACACATGAGGAACAGTCAACAAAAATGCGCCTTCCGCAACGCAACCAAGCGCACTATAAGAAGTGCTGAACTGAGCATCGTCACTAGCAATAACTATGTCGAACAAGGGCAGAATAGTTACGGCCACGCCTGCACATTCTCCTTGAATGCCTGCCACCAGAACCTTAGGAAAACCCATCAGACAATGCAGAAAGGCCCTGAAAACCCAGTTGATCGTTATCCATTGCAAATCCTACAAAAGAGGACTTACTTCACTTGGCTTGCCAACTCTTTGGCCTTCTGCAGGCGGATATTCTCCTTATCAGAAACCAAAAACTTGTAGTCAATGCCCCTGCTGAAAACCTTTGCGCTGCTGGACTTTATTAACACTACTTGGCAGTCATTTTCTTCGGATATTTTGCCCAAAGCAGCTGTCAGCTCGCCCAAAAGCTGAAAAAGGCCCAATTTACCCAGCGGCAATCAACACGCCTGTTCACTCACCTCTGAAGTAAAGTAGAACGGTTCATCGGTCGTGTACAGCTCAATGGTAACGCTGTTATTAATTTTCTTCAAAGTGAACGTATTGTAGGTGCCCATGCGATTTTCTAGGCGCTTCTGGGCCTTGGCCAATTCTGGGGACTTTTTCGCGAGTTTCACTTCAAGGGGATCACTCAATGGCGCGACCGGCTTCTTTTTCGGCTCTAGAAGAAATTGTTCTTTAGTTGAAGCAAAATGTGTCCAAGCTCCTGTTGGATACGCACCTGAAGCATCCACTTCATCATCATCATCTTCGCAGCAAAGCAATAAAATCAAACTTCACGCACTCAAAGACCGCAAACGAAAAAGAAACACGTACCTTCAGAAACATCCAGATCCACGCTTTCGCCTGTATCTTCAGCTGTACTGGAAATGGAGCTGCTGGATCTTCGCCTGATCAAATAGGAGACTTCGTTCGGATAGGGAAAAGACGGGGAGGCAGGCGGCGAGCTTCTGAAAATGCTCGCATTCAACCACGCAATCCAATAAGTGAACGTGTTTAGTTTACCTAGCAGAATCCTTCGATTTCTGCCTGCTTATTGGGCCGGGCGTTGCAACAGTTGGGGCCGCAGCCGCCAAAGCGCTTTTCTGATTCGCACTTGATGGAAACCCGTCCTTTCTGCGCAAAACCTTCGGTGTTTCCGAAGCGGACGTATTCACTAGGTCAGTTTTGATTTGATTGGCCTTTTTCGCCAGATCCTTGAAAGTTTTCTCAACTGAAAATACAGTCTTTTTGCGTCTCTCCTCCCCAGAATTTTCCGAATTCTTCAAGTCGTACAGCATTTTGATAGCGCCTTCATCGCCCAGCAGCTTGTCGACTTCGGTTCGCGGTTTCTTCACCTTTTGCAACTGTTTCGGAGAAGGGCTGACCTTTTTCTCCACAATACTCGCCCTCTTAACCAGACGTTTTTCCTCCGCTAAAAGTCCCACCAGATCACTTTACAGGCTTTAATTCGCGCTGCTGAATTACCTTTTTTATCGGGCTTGGCTTTGATTTCCGCTGCCTTTTTCGCTGGCTCGGCTGATTTATTCTCGTTTTTTGGCTGAACAGCTTTCGGCGACTGCAAAGTCTTTGGCGGTGTGGCTTCCACTTTGGAACCCTGAACCTTTGCTTTGGAGCTTGCCTCGTCCGGGTCCCAAATCACCTAGAAAGCACTGTGCATTACAAAGCATATTTTTGCTAGTTTAGATGCGGCACCTTTCTCTTGATTACTCTAGAGCTCTTGGTCACGTATGCGGCATCAGCTGCCGGTGAAGGAGTTGCAGATTTCGGCTCAACCTCCACAGGGATGGCAACGTTCGGTTTCTTTGTTGGGGCAACCGCCTGTACTGCATTTTCCGTGGATTTTCTCTTGCGCGAATAGGTTTTAAGCGCCGTGTTCGTCTGCAAACCAACGGCAACGATTTCATTAGATAAGTTC